TTCATCAAGATGCCACTCTACCACTGATGCTTGCTATCCCTGCTCCCTTTCCCATTCTGCCCTTTGCTCACTTCTGAATTAGCTCACTAATGCACCTGTACACATTCTGGTTTAACACGCAGCATAATTGATCCCTCCATTTCATAACTTTCCTGCTCCCACGTTTTTCCAATGCACTATGCAACTATTGTCCATACTAGACCTATTTAAAGCAACAGGACAAAACATTTATCTTTTTTCACTTACAAGTTCCATTCAATGCTCCATTTCTCAGATTACTTTTTCTCACTGATGAGAACATTCTCACACATTGAGTGGAACAGAGAAATTTTGAAAAGAGAAGAAAGGAAACAACATTTTGGCTGTTGAAGCCAAAAAGTTGTGTTTCCTTTTTTTTAAAGCATGGAATAAACCTTAACTTGTTCCTAGTACAGGTTAGGTTTCATTTTGTACACCACTTACAAAAACAGTTTTAAAAAAATGTTACTATTGCAATAACAATACAACATCAGCACAAAATGCACCGCTACCATCCTGTAGGCTTATACTATACTTTGAAGCAACTTTTGTAGGATTTTGTAAATAAATGTAAATTAACCTTGTCCACTTCCATTTCTGCTAGATATTACCTGAATGTAATTCACATATGGGGTAGATTTATTATGCACATATATCATTGACTGTAGTTTTGTCTGATTAATATGAATTTGATTTTCTTCCTTATCACAATTTTAATTAAATCAGAAAACTCAGAATTAACAGTGGGATGCAAGTGGAAATTGAGTGGAAGCTCATTTAAAAACAAAGAACAGGTGTCACTACTTTATCCAGAGGATTGTGAGAGTACAGAACAAGCTATCCAGCCATGCTGTTGAAACAACACTCTGGCTTCTTACAAAAACAGGGCCAGATGAGATCATCAGATCAATTAGCTATTACAAAATGGGCTAGATGGATGAAATGGCCTTCTGTTGTTTGTAAACATTCCTATATTTGTATAATGAAAGATCAGAAAAGACATAATTTTCCACTTCCGTTCATTAATTAATTTTCCAATTTCCATTATGAAAGTTTTCATCTTCCACTGATAACCTGTCAAAATGCGGACATGACTGAAAGCTGATTCTCATCTTTTCAGATCGGCTCTTTAGATTATTATCTTTCCCTATTTAATATTCTAATGTTCCAACAACACCTATAGTAAATTATTTACTGAAATGTGTGAAAAGACAATAATAATAGGATGATAATTTACAGGATTAGATCTGTGCTCTTTGCAAGAGTTTCAAACTTAACTTAGTTTGATTAGGTAACATGAAAGGAAGGATGTTTCATTGTAAATGAAATAATAAAGAGGCAACACAAATTCAGTAATAATAAAAAAACAGCACAAACAATGGATGATTTGGTTAAACAATGCTTCTCATTTACTGGATAAAAGATATAGTATGGAAGTGAGTAAAATTACTCATTGTGAGTATTACAATCTTGAGATGCGTTCACACCTGAACAATTGTATTGTTAAACTTCTAAAAACTACTAAAATAAACCTACTTATTAAACTTAACAGCTCCTGGTTGTGCGATCCAAACCAAGCAGCTGTGTAAAAAAGGTTCCCATATGTAGCCATGATAGTTTTCTTTCACAAGTTAATCATACCAAAAACCTGTCAGTTCTTTGCTTTTGACAGTCACAATCAATTTATAACAAACAGTTTCACTTATTAACAATTAAGATCTAAAGCTGTCTAATCTGTATTTGTTATTGAGTGTGACATACTGTAGAATACACAGGTGGGGTCACAAAAATATAATAGACATACTGTAGCATTTGCACAGACACAGGGATCTTAAAAACAAATACATTTTCCATATTTCTCAGGTTTACACTATTAATGCCTTTCTAACATTCCAATTGATAGTAACTGGCATTTCGTAGAGAATATTGAACAGCAAAATGTTTTGTATTTCACAGCTGTCCTCATGCCTAATCTCTCAAGAATAGGGTAGACTTAGCGTTAATTTATTAACTGTGTTTGCATGGTGCTTCTCATACAAAGTTACCAAATAACTTATTTATGGGAGAGGACCCACTTCATCCACCTCTGAAGTACACTGGATGATGGACAGTAGCCATTTTTATTAGCTAGCACTCCAACACACTACAGTACTATACCCTTCACACAATTTTATATGTGAAACTTGTTTTCACACAAGGCTCATTGAGGAATAATAACTGATCCCTGCAATTCACAGAAAACCTGGCTACCCTTATAAAGTAAATATTTCCCACTGCCTTTAGGAACAAAGGCCAAATGGGGAATAAGTAATTTGAAGAGTTCCTTTCTGACACTAAAATAAAAATCACTGTATTACAAAAAACAGTCTTTAGTCAAAACAATATTTTAGTCATAATTCCTTAAAAAAAAGTTCAAGTCATAAAATAGTCAATCTGTTAAACCTCTGTGGCAAACACACAGCAGAACTGTGTGTTTGCCACAGAGCAGAACTGCTGGACCTTTTAAAACATGTCCTGTACTCCTGTTCTACTGAACCCCATAAACAATGGTTTTTCAAACGCATTTTCCCTTTCACACAATATTACTTGCAAATTCAGAAAACAACCATTGCCCTGCGAAGAATGCAAGCATTTCCTGTGGAAACTGTATGTTTGCCAACATTGTGTGCTTTACCGAAAAACATGGCATATCACAAAGGACAAAGTAGCTTTTTTAGATTACCACCTGGCAATGAGATCATCGCTGGTCGGTGGTTAAAAATAGTCTTTACACTTTGCAATATTCTAAAGAGTGCAAACAAGATAAAGTACCTAAAAAAACTGCTAAGCTGGCAGAAGCTGCACTGATTTTTTCTAAGCTTTAAAAACCTTATAACTGCACAAGGTCTGCATTTACAAAGACTTTAACAGGCAACAAATTCAACAAAAAAATGTGTTAAAACACAAAGATTTAAGGCCGGATTTGGTAAGAAAAAAAGCATGGCACAGTGTTTAGCATTGCTGCCCGGCTACACTGGGGCCCTATACTCAATTCCAGACCTCGGTTGCTATCTGTGTGGTGTTTGTATGTTCTCCCTGTGTTTGTGTGGGTTTCCTCCGAGTGTTATAGTTTCCTTCCACAGTCCAAAAAGCTACTGGTACAGTAGGTTAACTGGCCTCTGGGAAAACTATCCCTGGTGTGAGTGTGTCTGTGTCTGTGTTTGCCCTGTGATAAACTGGTGTCCCATCCAAGGTGTACCCTGCCTTATGCCTATTGCTTGCTGGGATAGGCTCTGGCTCCCCACAACCATGGATTGGAAGAAGTGGTCAGAAAATGGGTGGATGGATGTCTTGTCTGATGCTCATCTCATAACCAAACTTAATTACATCTTCACAAATCTGTCTGAAATCCAGCTACAGTATACAGAGAATCTAGTTTTGCAAAATTATTGGTAATTGTTAAATAGATAAAATAAATTTCTCTATCCTCTACAATGGCAACTAGTTAACAGTTTTAATTCCTTTTTGTACTGAAACTATGGTTTTTCAAAGATGAACATGTAAGAAGGTTTCATGACTGAATACAATGGATCTTTTGTTGTGACTCATCATGAAATCTCAAAACTGTTCCTACTTGCTTATACAAGGCAGCAGTCTGTCTGGTGTCCCATTCGTAAAATCAACCGTGGTGAGACCATGCATTTAATTGTATCATGTATGTTTACTTTATTCTCTTAAAATTACAGAAGATATAAATTGTTTGATTCTGGGTTGCTAATTTTACCTTCGGTCAAACACGGTCGTAATTATAAGCCAACAGTGGATAAAAAGTCTGTACTGATCAGCATTTATTGTTAGTAGCATCAGCCACTGAAATAATGTATAGTAATTCCTCTGCCAACCTATTCTTTTAGTAACTGTTTTTACTATAGCAGTTGTTCATCTGGTGACAGATCTGGTGATAGAAGACCAATTTTGCTTTTATGAGTAAAATTTTTTCAAAGGCCAACACAGGTAATAATTTCAGGCATTCTGATCCTCTTGTCTGTGGTGCAGAGCTCCCATCTGCTAACTCCATTGTGTTTAAACGTGTATTGATTTTTTTCAGTCGTCACAGCATATGTGTCAAACTGCCACTGTACATGATGAGCACATATTGTGTGGAATACAGAGCTAACTCTTATCACACTCAAACCCCCCACCACTCCAATTTTCCACTTTCGTTTTAATCTAAGAAAAGCTTACATGCTGATTTTGCAATGAAATGAATTTAAATGGAATGATTTCGGAATTAAAGTTAAGATGCTTTGTGTATTCCCATTTTCGTTAAAGCCATTTCCACATATAACTGCTATTCCGTGACAACACTACACGCATATGATTCACAGCTCAGAGGAAACAAAGCAGTTACAGGCAAGCACATAACGATCTACTTTTTTACCTCCCCAAAAAAAGAAAAAACTATAACCGAAAAACATAATACAACTTCGATACTTCAAGATAAGAAATTTTGTGACCAAATAAACGCTATTCCTTTTTCTTTGATTCACAATACTGTAGCATCTCCATTTCCACACTAACACCAGTTTACACTGATCATCCGAGCAATCTTGAGAAATGACGGAGGGGTTTCTCCAATCAAACTCGTTTGTATTGAAAAATAAGACTTCAAGCCATAAATAAGGGGCTAAGGGCGGTGTTTCTCCCTGTTCAAGATTGTTAGAACTGAAGCGCATAACTCCACGTTTTAAACATAAAAAGGAAATAATGGTAATAATAGTAAGAGTAATCACATGTTAAATATGAATATACAATATAAAGTAAAAGTTATAATAACGCCCCGTACATAAAAAAGAAAAACGCATTTCTATAGTCTTCAGTTCCGAAGACCTTTTGTGTTTTCAATGCCTTAAGAACTATAATGAATACTATGCTATACATTCACTAGAAGCTGGTCTTTTCAGACGTCAGAAGAGTAAGGCGTTCATTTGTTTTATCTTTACCTTTTATAAAGCAGCTGATCCTAGGTTTTCCAGTTGTTCTCGATGCGGATTATATTCGCCTCCGCCACTGTCCCCCAACGCCGCTGGTGAACTAATGCACAGTAACGGTACAGGATTTGGGACTGTGAGCTCAGTGTCAGCTCTGCTAGTTTTCCTCTTCTTACCGGAAACAGAGCTCTCGGATACCCCAATCTTGGATAATGAAGGAAATGCGGTTTCCTTGTGCAGTGTTTTCTCAGTCAGTATGGTCCGTTAGAAATTCCTGCTGTACAAATGAGCTTGACGGTATTGCTTAAGAGCTTTCATTTAATTGAGTGGAAAAAAGTGCAGCTATAAATATCTACATTGTTTGTATTTCTTATTGCGTAAAAGGCATGCACAGTCAGCAGATATTAGACAGTTAATGCTGGAAGTAAAACAATTGCTTTGAGCAACCGAAAAAGGAAAACCGCTAGATATTTTTGCCGTATAAACGTTGCCTGTAGAAACACTTATTACATTCCTGTTTTGAACATTAACGAATTCAAATAATTATTATGGATTAATGAAAAATAATATCCAAATAATTAAGTTACATTGGTATATCTATAACTTTAGGAGAGAAAATACAAATGGTACACTTTCTCCATGGCTAATGGTGTATCTATCCATCCCATTTTCTATCCGGGCACATGGTGGGATACAGTACATCCTGGATGGGATGCTAGTCCATAGAAAACACATACAGTACAGTACATACACACTCACACTAGAGACAATTTTCCCAGAAGTCTCTTAATCTACCAGTATGTCTTTGGACTGTAAGAGGAAACCAGAGCACTCAGGGGGAACCCATGCAAATGTGGAGAGAACATAAAAACTCTACACAGATAGCATCACTGGTCCAGAATTGAATCCACTGCCCATGTCCTACAAGGCAGCAAAGCGAACCACTGCACTATCATGATGCCCATATCTGACTGTAGGGAAATATAACAAGGCTGCTTTACAGGAATTTTCTTTGAAACCATATCATAAATATGGCAAAATAAGTGTCTAAGTATACTTCAGACTTTACTCTGCTATCCTTGCTACTATTTATTTTTCTGTTTCTAGTGTTGACGTCTATAGTTCCCAGGGTCTCATTATTACAACTGATTGAAAGCTGTAAGTAGAAAAATTAAGAATAGTAGAATATGCTATCCTTTTTAGTTTATGAGCCTTTAAAGAGAACAAAAAAAGGCCACCAGTTTAGAACAAGCATCTGTCCCAGTAGAGGAGAGCAATAATTCAATTGAAGCACTGAGTGTAGAATTCATAATCCCCTCATTTTAAAATGTGTTTATGTCAGGTCCAATTTGGTAGGTATTCACTTGTCAGTAAAAGTGTACAGTTTCAGACCATTGGGAAATTGCACAGTAAATTCATTTTTGTCAATGAAAATAACAGATAGGAAACATAATTCTGATTTTACACTAGGGGTACATTAATCTTGCCCTGTTCCACATGTACATCAAAATTGTAGGGAAAGACTCAATGGGTACATAGCACATCATCCTCTTGGGAGGAAAGGTGGTGGCTAGCATAGTAACACTGAGTGCCTTTTATAAAATGAAAACAATTCAAAATACCTCAAATCTTCAGGAAGGACACTTCACCATTTCTTAAAATGTTACCTGGTAATATAGGTTTCTGACCATCATCATTTGAACAGTAGGTACTTTTTTCTAAAATTTCACAGTGTGCATTTTAAAATCCTTCCAATTATGTGCTTAGGTAACACATATTGTAGGTACAGTACATGTATGTTATCAAAAAAGTTCCAATATACTTGTAACAATAGCCTCTTACTGTAGAGAAATGTTGATACTTGCTTAAAAACAAAATAATAGTACTCCTATTTGTTATATATACAGTATATATTTGCTCTCTAAGAGTAAAATTAAAACATTTGCAGTGAAGATTTCTGAAGAATAACTGAA